AAATTTACTGAAAATTTTGGGGAAAAAAAGTTTTTTTAAACATTATGTTATAAAACAACTAATATTACCCACTTTTTTTGGTAAAATATAAAAGACGGGGTCACGTCGGGTAAATAGACACCAAACACCAAAGCTTTCACCGCTCATCAGTTTAGTGTTATCAGTGATTGATGGGCCTAGAATGATTGCTCTCACTGTGACGTTCGCGGCAATATGTAACATGTGCGGCGTAAGGGGCGCAATTGTCGTTTTCGCAGGTATGCGCACCTGACGCATGTTTACATGCCTGTATGTAGGGGTGGGGACTTTAAAAAAAAATTGTTTTTTTTAACTCTTTTGTATGTTTAACTTGAAAACATTTTTGGGGGAAACTTTAATTTTTTTTTTCTCCACTTATCACAGAGGGGGCTAAGAAACCCCCCTATGTGATAGCAAAAGAAGTGACAGGTCCTCTTTATGGAGACATCAGGGGTCTCCAATACCCCTACCCTTAATGTCACCTAGGGCCCACCTTAAGAAGCTGATGAAGCAGAGATCTGCGTCATCAGCTTTTTTCCTGCATCTGAAGCTGGAGAGTGACACAAGAATGCGAAGTGATGTCATATACACCACCTCCGCATTCTGACAGCGGAGAGGGGACCGGAGGGAGGTTGTGAACCGACCTCTCTCTAATCCCCTGTCAGAGAGCCACTATGCTTGTCCCAGGCTCGTGACAGCGGGAGGGGGGGAGCCACGGAGGGGGGTGCACATACCGGGACCCCATACAAGCGATCCGCCGGCTCTATAGCCAGCGGATCGCTTGTATGTTTACAGGCATCGCTGCCGGTTTTTAAACTATGTGTGTCTCCCGCTCGCGCGCGGCGCGCACGAGTGGGCGGGACTAACAGGACGTGTATACACGGCCAGTTACATCCAAGAAGCTCCCGGCCGGCCGTGTATACACAACGGTAGTTAAACCCTCCTGTGTCACCTTTCCACTGCAAAGAAACTATTCAATCGCAGATCTCACTTGAATAGCTTCTTCTGCAGCTTCTCTAGCCAGGGAATCGGAGCTGAGGAACCGGAAGTGGTGCAATCAGTGTCGCTTACGACTCCATTCAGCTGGGAGGAGATCAATAAATGCTTATATCCATGATGCCAGTCCCGGGACTACAGGAGGGGCAGCAGAGCCCAGGAAGCAAGGTGAGGGTATTGGGCTGGGGGGGAAGGGGGCACACTTCATCAGCCCCTGGAAGCGATCTGGCGGCAGCTCAGCCACCTGAATCACTTCCAGTGTAAAGCCGACAGTCACTGGGAGTCTGTTTAGAGATCCCACTGCTAGGGACAGGACCCCGTTCCTCTCTTACTGTGCATAAAAGTGAGGTGTGTTTCTGTAGTTCTAAAGCTGGCCATACACCTATAGATTATCTGCATATTTTCTATGGTCAGGTGGAAAAAGTGCAACAGATTCATCTAGGGCTGCAACAACTAATCAACATAATCGATTATAATCGATTATTGAAAAAGTTGTCAACTTTTTCAATAATCGATTAATCGGCTTCCAATCAGTTGGCCCTGTTCACGG